TTGAAGATCTCGCCTCAAGAACGCGCTGCAGCGCACACCCTGACCTGCGCCGGACCAGAGGCCCGTTCAATTGTCCGGTCTTGCTGGAACAGCTTCAAGTTGGCCGAGTCCCCGATCACGCTCGACATGTTGACCAATGGCAGTAATGGTCCAGTTGAATTTGGCATCCTGATTCAAGAGTTACCGCACGGTGTGGATGACGCAGAGTGGAAGTCGGCGCTAAGTCTCAGCGTGCAAGGGTACTCGCTGTGGCTCCAGAGATCACGTGAGTATTACTTGGCCAAGTATAACATCCTCCGCAACACCCGCAAGAAGGGCCAGGTGAACCTCCGCCAGAGCTGCAAGGATATGCGCGAGACTCAGCCCAAGCTGTCAGTCGCGCTCTGCCAGTGGTGGGCTCACAATGAAACTGGGCTCAGGTGATGGGCGAGGAATTATGAAAACCCATGCTTTGCGTCCTAGTTGGAAAATGACATGGACATTGGGGTTGTTGATCTCGAGATGGGGTGTCGATCTCTGTAGGGGCCCAGCACCGCCAGGGGCAGCGCTGCCAAAATAAAGCACCATTGCAAAACATTAGTGCTTTGGGAAGAAGGAGCTCCCCCCTGGGCCCTTAACAGGACACCCACCATGGAGTGCCAATGGGATTCGATTGGAAACCAACTTCACCGCGTACTGGGGGGGGGGAGGGGGGCTGGTAGTATAGTAGTAGGGGGCGAGTAGTAGTAAGTGAGGGTGCTGCCCATGATTGGGCGCCATTGTAATAACATACCATGCCGGGGTATCTGGGGTATCCTGGTTTTTTTTTTTTTTTGGGGGGGGGTGCCTCCCTCCCCACAGGTGATGTCTGTCGCTCCCCCTCCCCCAGGGTGACGTTGCGCTGCCTAACCCCATAGCCCCGCCAATCGATTGGCTGCCCACGTTGGCCCTGAGCCCTCTCGAATCAGACCACACAAACAGGAGTGCAGGACAGGCCCTTGTTGCAACGTCAGGCCTGACGCTGCGACAACGCGGTTCTCCTTCGCGTGGGGCGCAGGTTTTGCGGTACATGGGGTGGTAAGTAAGACGGGGTGGCGGGGATTTGCGGTTGGTGCTGTGTGATGACGGCTACGCATAAGGTCCCTCCAAATGGGGTGAGGAGGGTGGGGGGGGGGAGTGTTTTTTTTTTTTTTTGGTGGTGGATATGTCAAGGTCGTTCCTGGGGGCGTCGTACGAGCAGACGAAGCAGCGTTTTCTCCGTGGGGCTATAGACCAGTACATTGAGGAGCACGTGCGCAAATGCTCGCCGGGCGACTGCGCCGCTTTCTCGAAGATTGCCGTCCTCGCTGGCCTGGCCACTGGAACAGGCGCCCGCGGAAGGGAGCTGCGGCGCGAGCACTCGGATGCCGCCTCGGACAACAACGACGCTGCCGCCAACAACGACCCTCTTGCGAAGGAGGAGGCAATGCTGAAGTACAAGAAGTTCATGGCCCAGTTCAGCAGGGAGGAATGTACACTCACGACATGGGTGAATTCTGTCAAGGGTTTCGAGAGCAGCGCTGCCAACGCGCAGTTCAAATGGAACCATACCAACAACGAGAACATGCGCCTGGCAATCTCGCAGATGTTCGACCAGGTGTTTCCTGTGCAGGAGGCCCCAAACATCGAGAAAGGGGACAACAAAGCGCGCGCAGCGCATCGCAGCGCCGAAGACTACTATGGCACAACTGGCAGCACTCTGAAAGTCCACTTGTTGAATGGTACTTACTGCGGGGCTGTCAGTGAGGACCTATTTGGGATGCTCCCGCGCCACGTCAGTGCCACAGTGAACCGCGAACCGGAGAGCACGGTGTATGTTATCCTCAGTTTCCTGCGGGGCTACGGCATCTCCACAGAGCGCCATGCCCCGCGCCTCACGATGCAGAAGGTCATCAAGAGCCACACCGAGGACCCAGACTTGAACCTCGAAGTGAACACTTTCACGCTGTGCTTCGAGAAGCGCCCTACAGGTGGCTGGGCAGGGGGCCCGATGAGGCTCGAGGGCGCAATCTGTTTCAGCGCAGACAGAACGAAGACGATGGACTTCGCTTGTCGTTTTTCGAAATCAGCCCTCTACCGCAATGAGATGACTGGTGCCCTCTGCAAGGCACACCCCAGGTCGTCCTATGTGTGCCCCACCAACCCTGCAGTGCAAGGCTACCACTTCCCGGACACCTCGTTGGAGAAAATGGACAAGCAGCGGTACACAGGCCCGGGCATGTACTGGCCGCTTGTGTTGTCTCTCCTATCTGGGCTGGGGCTAAAGAGTAAGGACCTGGTCCATTTCAGGGAGGAGGTCGCATACGATGGTACTTTGGCGAGCACGCTTCTGGAGATGATGGCAGCGCCGCCAGAGCAGTTCGTAGTGCCTAAATTCTCATGCAGCATGTTGCTGTGGATGGGTTCCGCATCATCAATTCGCAACAAGTTGGTGTACTTGGACAAGACCCTTACAAATTTCGTCAAATCGCTCATCAAGAAAGGATTCCGGGTTAATGGCTATGATCCGCTCCCACCTGGACATGCATGCGACTTCCCCTGGCCCTTTGGATCTCTCGCTCTTCAAAGTCACCATGCCCATCACTAGCACTATGACCATGCAGATCCGCGAAGATGAATGGCTCGCCGTTACAGGCCACCCGGAGGTGATCGCCACGTGGCATATGGGGCTAATATGGGACCCCCCTTGTATCATGTATGTTGCTTCTTTGTGTTATTTAAGTATGTTGTGAAGATGGGACCCCCAGTGTTTGGGGCTGTTCTTACTGATCACTCCTTGGGCCCCTTACTGATGTTTTCAGCGCGTACCCATATAGTTGGAATAGGTAACATGCGCAATTAGGGGGCTGGCAGGGTTAACCTGGACACCCTTCGCCTTCAGTTTTTTGTCAATATTGTTTTGATTTGGCGGGCCCCTTCACAGGTGAAATCCCAGGCTGACAAGTGGTTGGATCACTTCAACGCCCGCCACAACCCGAGTGGCAGCTTTTGGGTGGACAGCAAGAAGCGCCCAGCTGATTTCGCTGCTGAAGGCGACGAAGCGGTCACCCTGCCGAAACTGTCTCCAGAGGACCCAGAGACCATAGAGGAGCTCGAGAAGGGAGCAGCAGGCCAGGGCTTGAAGAAAGGGCTAAGCACCCTCCAGACTGGCTTGCTTGTGGCGAAGACGATGGAGGGCGCCGTCTACCTCTACGCAGAAGATGCAGACATGGTCGCCCGGAAGGACATCCCTTTGTATGGTTGGGGGCCAGGGAAATGGCCTGTGGATAAAGAGCTGAAAGCAGCGGAGGACAAGACTGCTTCCGCCCCAACCCTCGTCCCGTTCATGTGCAACGATACTCAAGAGGAGATCCGCTTCTATGGAAAGCCGCCATTCACAGACGCTGCGTTTTCGAGCTCCCCGCAGCCATTGCGTCAGTTTTTGCAGTACTTGGAAAAGACGCACAATGTGACAGAGCATACGTTGGTGAACCACACGGTGGAGAGGACCGACGGTGGGGCTAATAGCAACCCAGACTACATTGTCAAGCAGGTTTTGCCATGTAAGTTTCTACCATCTAGCAAGGACGACAAGAACTGGTGCGTTGCTGTCACGTATGCTAAGACCGCCGCGTCTGAGCGGGTGCGTGTGATGGTTGACATCGAGTGCCAGGTCGACCAAAAAATACCAGAGGGCCTTTTCGTTATTATTGGCCCTGCGAGGTCCTTCACATGAACCCCATTCCTTAATAATGTCGTGTCCTCTCTCTATAATCATCTTCAGCTCTTCCCATTGAATTGTTAATGATGGGGCGGAGCTCGTGTGACTGGCCTGGTCAATTAATTAGCGACACCTTGCAGGTGGGCAGGCAGGCAGCAGCAGGGACAGGCAGCAGGGGGGGGGGAGGCAGCAGGGGGGATGGATGGGAGAGGGTGGGGATGAACATCGAGGTACCACCAGCAGCAGAACACGATGTGCCCTGGGGACATCCACCTCTTCCTGAAGCATGACACCCGGATCTACAAGAACAAGCTCACGCGCATCGTGTGAGGTCTGCAGTGAGGGGGGGGGGGCGACTAGATCGCTTTATGTTTCTCCAATGAACGAAAACAGACAGAGCACTAGCTGCCCTGGCAGGGCAGTCTAGCCCAAGGGGGCCCCGCCGGCTGAGTCCCTGTTGGGGCTCCTGGAGGAGGGTCCCTTGTTGTGGCGTATGGAATGACGCTACAACAAGGGGCGCTCGGGGCTCCTGGAGGAGGGTCCCTTGTTGTGGCGTCTGGAATGACGCTACAACAAGGGGCGCCTCTCACATGGAATAGCTCCTGCGATGAGTGGGGGGACAGCGATGTACCCCAGAACTCAATATATACAATTGGCAGCAGATACGCACACCACAGGGAGAAACAAATCGCAGGCATTTCAGGCGCGCATGGGCCTGGAACATATATACAGCAGCTGGAGTCTTGCTGCGCGCCCCTGGGAACGCTTCCCAAATTTTAGTATTCATGGCCCAGCAGTTTTTGTTTATCGCTTGCTGGCATGGTTGCTGGCATGGTAGCAGGTACAGAGATGGGGCTAATAACCAAGGAGCTAAAAAAAGACTTGTCGCTTCTTTGTTTTTTTGGTATCGGTCTCTCTCAGCAGACAGGAGCAGGCAGGACTGGCTGGCGCGCAGGAGGAGTCAGGGCGGGGCTGGCTGGCGTGCAGGAGGAGTCAGGGCAGCAGCAACAAGCAGTTCCTTCAGGCTCGAGTGGTTAGTGCTGCGCAGCGCGCCCTGTGCGGCGCAACTACCCTTGTGCCTGAGCAATGTCACAGTCGTCATCCTCGGACGACGGCTACAATGTCAAGGTATACCCGCGGTCTGCAGGCGCGGCGGCGCCAACGGCATCAACCCCGCCATCGTCGCCCCCAGCCGTGCAGCCGCAGCCAGGAGAACAGTTGATGGAGGGGGCGGCAGGGGCAGGAGGATCAACAGCAGCAGCAGCGCCAATGGACTGGCAGTGCCGCAGGCAGCAGCAGCAGATGGCGGCAGCGCCGCAGATGAGGAGGCCTGGCGGCAGCGCCGCCGCAGCAGCGGCCGCAGGGGCGGCGGCGCGCAAGAGGCCTGCAGCTGCAGCGACTGCAGAGGAGGATGAGGGCGAGAAGGATGAGGAGGAGGAGGAGGGGCCTGTGCGCAAGAGGCCCAACGGCAACACACGCGCGAAGGATGAGGAGGTGGAGGGGGGGCCTCCTGCGCGCAAGAGGCCCAGCGGCAACACAGGCACATTGGCTGGGCGCAGGAGGCCTGCCGCCGCCAGCGCAGCAGCAATGGGCGACAAGGGCGAGAAGGAGGACGAGGATGAGGAGGACGCGGAGGAGGAGAAGGAGGAGGAGGAGGAGGAGGAGGAGGAGGAGGAGGCTGCTGAGTGTGGGAGCATTAAAAAAAAACCTGCTGCTGCCGCCAAGGCGTCGCCAATTGCCGGCGGCCTGCAGTGGCACAACAGGGGGAACAGCGGCGACGGCGGAGGAGGCGCTGGAATGGCAGGCTCTGTTAGGGCTGCGAAGAGCAGCGACGACCCTTCAGGCAGCGACCCTGGGATCGAGGGCATGCGAAAGTTCTTCGCTGACCACTTGTCGGCGGGCTTGACCTTGAAGGAGACGCACGCGCAGTGGCGCGAGAAGGGCGGGGCTAACCTGGCAGCAGCCGGAGGACGCACTCCATTTCAGATGGCAGGCAATTTCATCGACTGGATGCGCGATGGGCACCAGTATTACTGCAAGTATGGCCGCCTCGAGGAAAACCTCTCCACGGCGAAAGCACTGGAGCAATGGAAGGCGATGTCTGAACGGGCCAAGGAGAAATGGCACCGGAAGTCGCACAACCACAACGCAGTGATCCTGGCCATGAAGTTGAGCGACGCTGGCAGGGCGAGCCATGGTAAGGCCGCGGATTTAACCATTGCCCTCATGGGAAACATCAAGAAGTCCAACCGGGAGGAGTGGCTCGCCGACATAATGATGCAGTCAGCCCCCCCCCCGCCGGCGCCTGGCTCATGGAACGAGGGGGGGGCTGCTGCTGGCGTCGCGGATACCCATGGGGCTACAGCAGCAGCAGGGGCAGCAGCGGCAGGCCAGCCACACGCTTCAGAGGAGGGCGGCGGCGGCACTGCAGTAGCTGATGCGGAGGAGGGCACAGCGGCGGCAGCAACGCAGGCAGGCCAGCCGCGCGCTTCTGCGGAGGCTGCTGCGGAAGCAGCGCGTGGGAGCTGAGGGTGAGCGGGGCTGTTTTTTTTTCTCTTGCAAGTAGACTGCTTCAGGAGGGGCTAACAACTTGGAGGGGCTGCCATGTACATATAGGCCCTACCTGGCGCTAGGGAGCTAAGTTAAGGAGAGTAGTGGCATGCAGTATGGCGCTGCCGCATGGGCGTCGCGCTGCGCAATGGGAAAGATTTTTTCGGATGTTCAGAATAGCTCGCTAGAAGGGCGTTGCGATCCAGCAACGCAGGGACGACGCCACCGGCGACGACGACGACGAAAAACGACGACGCCACAGGCCACCACCCTGGCCTTCAGGCCATCACCCCGCCACCGTGCCTGGGGTCGTAGGTTAGAGGCCTCTTGGATGTTCGTTGGGATAATGAATGGTGGGAAGCCTATTGGGGTCCTCTTGGAGGCATTTTGAAGCCTCTTGGGGTCCATTTGGAAGCTTACTGGGGCTTACTTTTGGGCTTCTTGGGGGCCTTCTTTTCGATGCCTCTTGGGGCCTCCTGGGATTTTCTCGGGGCGGAAGTTTCGAATTATCGGTTCGTGTTGTTCCCCCCTTTGGCCCCTCTTGGGGCCCTCTTGGGGCTCTCTTGCGCTGTCATGGTCGCCTCTTGGGCTGTTCTGGAACCCTCTTGGGCCATCGTCTTGGGGGGGGGGGTCCTCTTGGGGGCCTCCTTGTTGGCCATCTTGGGCGGCCCTTGGGGCCTCGTGGTCAGTCTTGGAGCGTTGGAAGCTCCGACAGACAGGCGAGGAGGACCTGCACACAACGAAAAAATATAATCACATCTTGGAGCCCTCTTGGGAGGCCTCCTGGAACGCTCTCTGGGCCTCGTGGAGGATTCATGGGCCATCGTCTCGGGGCCATCCTGGGCGTCGTGGAACGCTCCAGGTGGGCGCGCAGGAGCGCGCGAGAGCGCCCAGAAAATTTGAGATGTTGGGGCCCTGACTGCTGAGGAATGAGAGGGGGAGGAAGAGGGGGAGGACGAAGAGCGAGGGAGGGGAATCCCCCCCCCTCCGGCGGGCTGGCCCTGCTGACAGGCGAGCCCTAACAGGCGCCATGCGTCTCCTGGCGCGGAGGGCCGGGGAGGGGGTGGGGGAGGGGCCGGGGAAAAAAGGGAGGGCGAAAGGGGGTTAGGGCAAGAAGGGAAACGGGACATGAAAAGAGGCGGCAGGAAAAAAGGAAGGAGAATGGGGGAGGGACAAGCAAGGGGAAGGAAGGGAGAGGGGAAAGGGGATGGGAAAAGAGGGGATGGGGAATTGTATGTCGCGTCGATTTTTCATTCAATTTCGCAGTATAGATTCATAGTGTAGTAAAATTCATAGTATACAGTATACAGTCATGTGTTCAATATGCAGTACACTACACAGTATACACTACACAATATACAGTATACAGTCATAAATTCAGTATACAGTATACAATATACAGTATACAGTCATAAATTCAGTATACAGTATACAATATACAGTATACAATATACAAATCATAGCACCCCCTCCCTGCGTACCCTCCTCTTCCTCCTGCTTTGCCTGCCTTGCTTGCTGGCCCCCCCCTCTGCTTACACTGTTTGTTTCACGCCTTCCCAGGCCCGAGCACCAGACATTGGCCCCTTGGGGACGGTGTCGAGGTCGCCAGCACCGGCGGCGCCGCCGCGTGGCGCAGCGCTGCAGGCATGGCAGGGCTGGGGTCGTCAACAAAATGCCGCCATCACCTCCATGGCGAAAGAACCCCCATTCGCTTTTGGAACCGGCCCGTTTCTGATGCGATCGGCGGTGGAGTCGAGGGCGGCTGGTGGAGTTTTTCTCTGGGCGGGCTGCAACGTAAAATCATGTAGTATCTGGATTGCGAATCCGAGTCCTCCTCTCTCCTCCTCCTCCTCCTCCTCCTCCTCCTCCTCCTTCTCCTCCTCCTCCTCCTCCTCCTTCTCCTTCTCCTTCTCCTTCTCCTCCTCCTCCTCCTCCTCCCTCCTCCTCTCTTTCCAGCTGCTCCTCCTCGCTCGCAATAGGCCGCTGTGCCCTGTTTAATTCGTTCTCAGTCGTCTCTGACTCGCCGCTCGCATCAGAGACGCGCCTACTACGCGCAACAAGCGCCTCGCCAATCACAGACTCGCTACTACTCAGACTTATTCAAACTCTGGGGCTTATTACGCGCAGTCGTACCTACTGATGTGCATGATACCCAGACGACTCACTCATATCATCCAGACTCGCTCACACTCAGACAGACAACCACGCTCACACTGACAGTGGTCATCAGACGCACTCAGTGCATCCTGAACCACTGGCGCTCAGTCGGACTCACTCACACTCATGCTCGGGTTTCATGTAGCGCTCCGTCGAGGGTTGCCAGGGGGTCTTCGTCGTGGGGCGCTCTTCTACCACACGCGCCCTGATCGCGGGGATTGTCTGCTCGGACAGCCCCCCCGCTT